ATTCTTGACCCACACATGACCAGTGTTCTCTATAAGCTGTGTCCTTGTGCAGTGCTGAGGAGAAATTATAATGCTGCCCTACTAATTAGCAGAGTGCCCACAGCTAGTTTTTTGTTTCTACTGGCAGTGCACATTCAACACATTGCTCTGTGCACATAAAAAAATGTATTCCGCACATGGATGGAAAAAATTCATATATGAACAGAAAAGATTAGAGGGAACATTGCACATAACCCTCAGCCCACTCCCCTCCATGCAAAGTAAGTAGATATTCTTTATAAGGAGCCATGCAAGTAAACCATACAGGGCTAGACTGGAGCTGTTTGGGAAGCTGATTCCAAGCCACAGGCCCCTATTTGAGGAAGTTATAATCAAGATGGATCCAACTGACCCCAAGGACAGAAGCAGTGTTTTAAATAGGAAGGTCCCAAGCCATTTAAGACTTTATAGGTTAAAACCAATGCCTTAATTGCTGTCTGAAAACAAGTAATTGGCCAATGCAGACTGGCAAGTTTATGGATTGATTTAAAGTGAACTGCCAGGCAGAGCACGTTGCAGTAATTCAGGCTTCAGGAGACAAAGTCTCAGAGCACAGTAGAACAGGTGTACACTGAAAAAATGGTTGCACTCTCCTGGCCTGACAGGTGGGAAAAGCCTGCCTGACCACTGATCCTAACTAATCATCTGGCAGAAGACAGGGATCGAACTTTGCTCCCTAATTCACAGTTTTAAATCCAGAAGGAACCAGTATGATTTCTGCACTGGAAAGAGAGAATACCTTTTAAAAATGAAGATATTCTATCTTTATTTAAGCCAGGTGTGAAAGTAACTTACATTTCTTTAGATGTTCTGTTGTATTGTCCCCTGGGGGGGTGTGCTCAGGGCAGGACGTTGGGTGGAGTATGACAGCATCTGTAAGAAATTTAAGTGTGGGGTGGAGTGCTGGGCTTAGGACAGAGTGTTGGAGTGTGGGAGGTGCAGTACTCAGACCAAGAGTCTGGGGTGGGGGTGGAGCTTCAGGTAAGAGGCTTGGGGTGTGGGAAGATGCAGGAATCAGGGCAGAGGTCTGAGGTCTGGGGGACTCAGGACAGAGGGTTGGGAGTGGAGAGAGTATGGGGGGGGGTTCAAGCACACTCTTTAGGGACTGAAGCCCCTTCTCCATTTCTATCAATGCTGCTTGTTGCTTGTTCTTCCCCTTCCATCACTATCAGGAAGTGAGAAGAAAACACACAGTCACAGAATCATAGACTCCTAGGGCTGGAAGAAACCTCAAGAGGTCATCGAGTCCAATCCCCTCACCAAAGCAGAACTAACCGCAATTGAATCAACCCAGCCAGGGCTTTGTCAAGCCGAGACTTAAAAACCTCTAGGGTTGGAGATTCCGCCACCTCCCTAGGTCACCCATTCCAGTGCTTCACCACCCTCCTAGTTAAATAGTTTTTCCTAATATCCAACCTGGACCTCCCCCACTGAAACTTGAGACCATTGCTCCTTGTTCTGACATCTGTCACTATTGAGAACAGCCTCTCTCCATCCTCTTTAGAACCTCCCTTCAGGTAGTTGAAGACTGCTATCAAATCCCCCCTCACTCTTCTCGAGCCCAAATCCCACAACCTCTCCTCATAAGTGAAATGCTTCAGCCCCCCTAATCATTTTGGTTGCCCTCCACTGGACCCTCTCCAATGCATCCATGTCCTTTCTGTAATGAGGGGCCCAGAATTGGATGCAATACTCCAGATGTTGCTCCCCTCCTGCATTGGCCACGAGGGAAAGGAACATGGGGCCACTGTGAGCTGTTCTCTCACTCTCTGACAGTGATGGAAGGGGAGCAACAAGCAGAGTCTGTAGGAATGGGGTGCCTCAGCCCATCACCTTCCCCAAAGGACACTCTGCAGTGGCTTAGGGCTAGAGCCAGTGTGGGGGTACAACCTCATTCTGCCCCTTCCATCTGCCTGCTGCTTAGCATGGCACCCTCAGCCAGTTCTTGTGGGAGCAGTGCACCAGAGAGCACCACCTTACTTTCCCCTCTGATTTAAAGACTCAAACTAATTGAAAATCTTCCGCACAATTTGGTAATTAGGAATAGTGATGGATTAATCCCACTGTTAAAGAGTCACATCTTATTTCCGGTTTCAATTTTTTTGTAGTGCAATTTCCAGCCCTGGGATAATAGTATGAATCATAAATGGCAGGCACAGTGTTACCCTCATCATTTCTTCTGGTTGCTTATTGCAGCATGGGAAAACTCAACGACAATGGTGATGAGTAAATACTTAAAAACCTAGATAGAAGGCATCACTTCAGTCTTATCTGGATCAAGATTCAGGAAAATGGCTCCCATTCACGCCCCTCTCTCTCCCAGGCTACGTCTAGACTGGCCACAAATTCTGGAAAAGGGATGCAAATCAGGTAAGTCAGCATAGGGAAAGCCGCGGGGGATTTAAATATCCCCCGCGGATTTAAATATACATGTCCGCCGCTTTTTTTCCAGCTTGGGGAAAAGCCGGAAAAAAAGCGTCTAGACTGGCGCGATCCTCCAGAAAAAGCCCTTTTCCGGAGGATCTCTTATTCCTACTTTTCCCCAAGCTGGAAAAAAAGCGGCAGACATGTTTATTTAAATCCGCGGGGGATATTTAAATCCCCCGTGGATTTCCCTATGCTGACTTACCTGATTTGCATCCCTTTTCCGGAATTTGTGGCCAGTCTAGACATAGCCCCAGTGTCTGGCACACACACCTGTGAAAGAGATAGCTGGGTACTGTCAGTGTACTGAAAGTGTCCTAGGACTATCTTGTCCCAAATACCCATGGAAACAGGAGAAATAGGAATCAGTGCCAATCCCCATAACAGTGTCTTTTAGGAATAAGAGTAATTACCCTACCCCACCTTCTGAGTAATGCTCCAAAAGGAAATAACAAAATGATAAATGAATA